TTTTCTTTCAAAAAAAAAAAGAAAAGAAAAAACCCTTTAAAGATTTTCTTTAATCATTTTGCGGAAAAAAAGTAGCACCTCCAATTGATTCTTGAACAAGTTTTCTCATCACTTTTAATTTTTTTGAAAATAAAAACAATATAATTTTAAGGTATTTTTTCTTAATTTTTTAGAGACCTGACTAATGAATACTTTTCTAATATAACATAGTGTCATTAAAATTCCAAAATTAATCAAAACTAAACAAAAGCCGAATTCTTATAAAAACAGCGGCTCAGGTACAAATTCCAGAATCATTAACTTTTACAAAACAAGAGGCTGTAAAAAGAAAGACAAAAATGATATGATTATTAATTTATTATAGTTTTTGGGATAATTAATTATTAATTAGCAACTAAATAAAAATAATTCTGAACAAGAAGTGGACATTTAACCAATAATTTTATAAATCCAAACTATGTAAGTCAACCAACAAGGATAAATTAGTAATACTTTCTCTAGATTGCCTACATTCCATCATTCCAGAAAAAAAGCAAAAGCAAAAACAAAAACAAAAGAAATAAAAAAAAAAATGAAGAGGACAAAAATAATTTGAGAAAAATTCCTCCTTTCACATTATTATCATTTTTTTAACATTTTTTTCTTTTAATTAATGGGCAATTTTAGGTCCTTAACTTCACAGGGAAGTTACTTTAGTTCATAGAAATTCAATGGCACTTTTTCATGGTGTGTTCCCACATTTTTCATTAACGGACAATGATACATTCTTGACCATTACATACACTCACTTTCCGTTACTTACTATTAACTCAAAACGCACACCACCCAATCTTTTCTTTTTCTCTCTCCTTTCATTCCTCCTTCTTGTTGTTCATCGTCTTCACCAGATCCATCTTCCTCCTCACCTCCATCCTCATCTGAATCATTTGCAGCCTCATCTTCTTCTTCTTCATCATCGTTAGTTTCACCAGCACAGAGCATGAAGCTGAGCAAGTGGGAACTTGCAAAGGAACATAGATTTGGTGTTAGGGAAGGGGAGAGAAAATGAAAGGATTTAAAGGTTGAAGATAAGGATTCGTCTGTTGGGTTCCTTCGATTGACCCAACAACAACCCAGTAAAAGAGAGAAATTGGAAGGGAAAATGTCCAAATTTGGTGTTGATGGAGGGATAGAGAAAGAAAATGAAAGGATGAAATTGTAGGTTTTATTGGAGGCCATTATAGGTTTTGTCTACACTAACCGTAGCCTGTCTCAGAGCGTCTTGCTTCATTGTCCAGCTGGCTAAGTTGGGTGTGTTTGGGAGTTAACAGAAAGTAATGGAGAGTGAGTATGTGTAACGGATGAGAGTATATGTAACATTTCCCTTTCATTAATGTATTATTAATTAATGTATTAATCATTTTGAAGAATATGACTTTACTTTTGGCAAGAAAAAAAAAAAAAAAGAGACTATAACTTTGCTTAAATACTTCCAAAGTGTTTTGCTTTATGATGATTAGGTTGATTTGAATTTTATGTCCACATTGCATTTCATTTACAAAATATTTAAATTAGAGTTAATTGATAGGATGATCACACATATACTCCTTTTTTAAAAAAAGAAAAAGAAAAAGAAAAAGAAAAAATTATGTCTGATCAAAGTAAATTGTGAAAGATAGTCAATTCCAATCGTGTTTATAGTACTTTTGCAAGGTTAAAGTACTTATATAGGCATGCGGTTCATTATTTTCTCTAACTAATAATTGTGATGGTCTGAGTCGAACCTTTGTTGACTTAATAAATTCGTTGAGTTTATGCATTATAAGCTAATTATAATGTCTATTTTGACTTCCTTTCTAAAACACCTTTAAAATGCATTCCCAGTTGGTGTGAAAGGTGGGGTTTATGGAGAAATGAATAGCTTGCACAAGGGGAAAGCATAAATGCACTAGATATATTTTGTTGTATATTCGCACTCCATTAATTTGATTTCTTAGCATGGTAAAAGATTGACTTGGGAAATTTGAGTTTGGAGAACATGGAGTCACTATTTGGCAAAGAAAAGATTAATTGGAAAGTTTAGTCAGTGCCTTTTGGTGTGATAAAGAGCCTTAATCTTGTGGGGTTAGCATAATCTCTCTTATCGATCCTTTCAATTTTGTTGTTTCAAGGAAGATTTATAGGGTTACACCGACTTTACTATAGCAACATCTTAATTCTTAAAGATGAGGCCACCAAAATTAGTGTCCCTACTAGTCTTAATTAACATCATTTAAGGGAGGAAAATATCTTAACAAAGATGATAATCTATTGACCAAAATAGACCCAGAAAAAAGTTTTATTTCATGAGAGGCCGGTGACAATGTAAGGGCTTGTTTGGCAAGAAACTTAATTAAGATTAAAATTCCATAATGGAGATGGATGGAGATGAAGGCTCTAAAAGGAGAATAGGGGGCATATGGTTATCATTAGATTTCATGTGGGCTATGGATACAAGATATGCAGTCTGTGATGGCCACTTAAAGAAGAAGATAGGCATGAAACGTTTCCACCCTTACTTTAGTGGTATTTTTAAACCTTCCCATTAACATTCTCCATAATGTTACATATCCAACAAAAATAGTGTACTTAGGTAAAGTAAGCATAAACCATTAATAAATGATAGAAATGGATGTTTCAATAATGTTAGGTGAAGTGAGATGAGGTAGATCCCATGAATCCCCAAACAAAAAATTGCTTTTTTCCTTCTTTTCCCTTAAGAAAAAGACTAACATAAGGCTCAGGAATTGCCTCCCATTAAATAAAGTACTTGGTAATAATCTTCATCCCTCCATCACCATCAAAGTTAAAAGTCTTACATTCGAGTCTAAGGTATAATTGAAAACAGTGTATTAAGCCATTTGAGGATATAAAAATAAATTATTTTGTTGGAGCCCACATGCGGAAAAGTAGGTCTTCTTCTAAAATGGGCCCATGTCATTGGTTGGTTTGGGCTTTAGAAAACTGCCATGAGGGGGGCCCATCTTTCATTCGCACTATGTTGTTGTTGCCTCACCTAGAAGCTAGAAGTGGCGATGGTGGAATAGGGGGAGCTTAGGAAGTTCAGTTGAGTTCCTATTCGAGAGGGACTGAGGAATGCCTACTAAATATAGGTAGCATTAACTTTTAGTCTGAATTTTTATTGCAATTTAGCTGTAAATTAAAAAATACATATGCACTCAGCGCTCTATTGGCCTAGTCCTTCTACTATATTGAAGACTATTGGCCTTAAGGTCTAATTAAGGCCTTTCCACCCTCTTTTCCTCTTTTTTATTTTTCGTGTGATCTCTTCACTTTAAGCTTTCGGCTATTCACTCCACTGCATTATGATTCTGTAAACTTTTTTTTTGTAGTTTCATGGATTTTTAATGCCTCCATTCTAGATGATAAGTTTAAAAATAATGTGAATTACATTACCTATTTGCAAATTAGTTTTAAGTTATATACATCCACATGTTGCTTTTATAGTATGAGAGTGTCTAGACCATTGACCTATTTACCTTTTATCTTACAAAAATAAAAAAATAAAAATGTTAGAAATATAACTTTAATTAATGAAAATGGTGATTTGTAGTTCAACACAAGTCAAATTTAATTTCAAAAATGATTTCTATTAATTAATATATTAAATTAAAATGAACTTATGATTCTTTTTCACCAAATTGTTAGGGAGGGTACTTTTCATTTAAGGCTTTGATATGGGTTGATAACTTGATATACAATATCAAGCTCCAAGGACTCCATTCATTTGTCTCCTCTCACTGAGTGGCTTAGGAATTTTTACAAGCACCTTTCATGTATTCCAACATTTATGTTCATGGGGTCCAATTCCATCACCAAAACCATTTGATCACCATGCTATATATATCTCTTAAAAACCTAAGCAAACTGAAGAGAATTCCAGTCAATGAATTATTTTTTAGAAAATGTATATATATACATCAAGATCACAATCAAACATTAGCACATACCAATTATATAACATTTGCTTGTAATTTGGACCTCCCGCTTGGAATAAATGCAGCTCTCAATTTTTCTTGAAGAATATGTATTAATCTCTCCACAAATAAGGATTGGAATTCCTCTAATGACTTTCTCGATCAATGCATTTAATTGAGACAACAGCTCCAAGGATGTCATGAGACAGAATTTCATCAAACAGAAGCAGAGGCTGAGAGGGATATAGGCCAGCACATATCTTAGTATTTTCATTTACGGTAATATTGAGCCCATTTGACGGTTTTTTTTTTTTTCTTATAATTTTTTTTCTCTCTCTTAAAACTTAGTTTTAAACACTTTAAATGTTGAAAAAAAGACATTTCCTACAATAAAATTTTAAATTTAAGAGAAAGATGTAGTTATAAGTAATGGGAATACAGATTTGTAAGTTGACCTGCAGAAAAAAAAAATAATAAAAGAACGGTTATGAAAATGCATAAATAATATTGATTAACAACTGTGCATGGGTAATTTATTAATTAAATATTTTAAATAATCTTATAAATATTCCTATATCTTTTTATAGTTCAAATAATTTTTTAAAAAGAAAGAGCTCCACCAATTGAGTTCACAGAGGTGTTTGATAAACCTTAAAAACTATTTACTTTAAAAACGAATTATTCTTTCATACATTTAAAATTTTGTTAAAGAAAAATTTAAAAGTGTTTTTAAGCAAGTTTTAAAAAAAAATTTAGATACGTAACTTTTTTTAAATTTGGTTAAAACTTATTTTCAAAATCAAATTTTAAATTCACGGAAGACTAATTTAATTTTTAAGTAAATATTTTTTAAGTTCTGCAAAACAGTATTCATGTACTTCTTTAGTTCTAAAATAATAAGTGTTTTTTTATTTATAATTTTTTTAGAATAATAATCTTTTTTTATTATTTTAAGAAAAATAAATATTTTTTATTTTAATTTATGATTATTTCACAACTTTAATTATCTATTATTTAATTAGAATAATTTTTTATTTTTATTTATTGTTTAAAGATGAGATAAATAAAAATAATTATCTATTATTTAATTAGAATAATTTTTTATTTTTATTTATTGTTTAAAGATGAGATAAATAAAAATAATTATCTATTATTTAATTAGAAT